AAGTTTTGCATTTAAGAGCAGCTAATTATTGCCAAACTGGCTGATACGTGAGATATCTGATGAAAAATCTGTTGTTTCAGGAACAGTATTCATAGCTCAGCTTATGGCACTGTGTCATCAGAGTCCCTAATGAATCGGTCCCAAGATGTCACTAGGGAGACTGTGCTTTTTTGACAGCAGTGGCCATTTGTGGATGTTAAAGAATCCAAAACATCTTGGAGGAAAATGATCATGCTTCCTTTTTTTGTTGTTGTTGTTTTGGTTTCTTGCTGTTGTTGGTATTTTTGTAGCTGTTCTTTCTAGCACTCCAGCAGTTCAGGGCAAATTATGTGAAGCATTGAACATCCTTACTCCCAGCATCACTGTGCACTACATGTATCCAAACAACAAAGTCTTTCCAGGAAAGGTGCAGTTCCAGGACTAAGCCCTGCAAATGCAGACTGGGTTGTCAAACTGCATGCACTGCATTTTAGAGCCATACAATTCTCTTTCTTCAACCTTCCCCAAAGCAATGTATATACTTAACATCCCTTGGGTTTGAGACATTTTAGCTGTATTAATAGACACCACCACCCAAACACCAAATAGATCTTTTTGGATGATATAAAAGCACATAAAAACATCTATTTTACTTCCACTTTAATGCATATAGAAGATAAATGGTTGAGCATAAAGTATTGTACTTCTGAGTTCATTAGCGTTTATTCAACATAGGCAGGAAATCTCAGAAAGTTATTACTAAATGATCATAGTTCTGTGTTGTCAGTTTGATCCCTGCAGGATGTGTCCATCTCAGAGAAAATGCCCATGCAGGTACACTGGCTGCCTCAGCAGAGAGGTCAGGGATTGAATGGGTGATGGAGTCTTCAGTATCTACACATCTCTGAAGGTAAATCCAGGGGGGTCACATTAATGAAAATGCTGCTATATGTATCTTACTGCTGAATAAAAGCACCTTTTTCAGATGTTATCAGTCTCCAGCCTGACAGAGATTTAAAATTCACATAATCTCTCTTTAAAAAGTGCGTGTGTGAGTAGATTTTGAACTCCATTGTACCTTGCAATGAAATTTTATTTTTTAGAACTGAAAAGCAGGCAGGTGGTTATGAATGTGTCTGAAGCTATTTCACCAGCCTGAAATGTAAGTACTGTTGGAAAACTTTTAGGAAAATAGAACATCTTACTAGGAGCTGCAGCAACTTTTTGTGAATTTATTTTAGTTTGCATCAGTATTCTGAGCTACAGGGATTATAATTTAGTAGAGAAACACTCATTGGGAGAGGGGATTGATGGCGTTGAGGCAGCAGCCCTGTGAGTTGACAGGGATGCTAATATAGCCACGGCAGAAGTTTAGAGAACAGATCAGAGCAGCTGGGTGGGCTGATAGAGAGGATCAGGGCAGCCCAGAGGAGCGGTAAGAGGATCCAAATAAGTGGATTAGTAGCATACCAAAGCACACATTACTTTTAGTTTTCAAACTCACATTGATTTTACTGCAAGTGCATTTACTAATGTGTGGCAGGAGAAATGGAAGAGGATCAAGGCAGAATCGAGACAAGGAGAGCAGGTCCCTGTGGCAAGCTGAAAATGGCGAGAGGCTGGGCTAGGGAGCACAGCGTAACATCCCCACATCAGGCTCAGTCAGGACTTAGAGGAGGATGGCTGCTGCCTGGGCTTCATCTTGCAGCCTCAAGGAGCTCCCTAATAGTGTTAAATGCTTTTGTTCCTGCAGCTGATGCTGCATTCGTTCTCCATCTGTAGCTCCAGCGATTCCATCGCTGCACTCCTACATCTGCCTTCAGCTGCTGTGGCTGAAGCAAACTGACACAAAAATGGAGGAATGATTAGCAGCATGACCCTCTTGGAACTCTCCCTAGCAGGGGGCTCACTGGGCTGCTGGACGCTGAGCTGAGCTTGCTGCAATTTGTGCCTGCAGCATCCGTCAGAACTGGGACTGCTGTGCTTGGGCTGGCACGATTGACATTGACTCTGGGATGACCCAAAGCTCAAACGTGCTCTTTCTGAGGATGCCAGCCTGGCTTTACATTTCTTAGGCAGAGGTAGTAGTGATGAAAAGACACATCCAGGCTAAAATTTCTAAGCACTATTACTCTTTATATACCACGAAAGTTTAAATTTCTAGGCAAAATAAGGCCTAATCACATTGTCCTCAGCTCCCTTGAAGCACTTGGGTTGTAAAGGCAAAATTAGTTCAGCCCATGGTTTCTCCATGTTGCAGAGAAGCAGAGGATGTCCATGTATATGGACAGATTTCTTTTACTCCTTCACATACTCTTTCATAAAAAAGAGTATTGTTGAGACCTTTTCTTCTTTATTCTTCAGCCACATCTGTTGCTTAGATACCTTGGTCTCCTCTCCACTCCTCCCAGAATTCAAATCCAAACACTGGTTTGGATAAGTCTTCCTAGGAAAGACTTAATACCTTAATATCCTTATCCCAGAAGTATTGGATCAAAGTGGATGACCATCAAGCATTGGTTCTTAGAATACAGTGCCCTTCCTTGGAACCTTAGTCCAAGCTGTACATAAATTCACAGGGAGGGGGGAAAGTCCAACCTTTCCAGTCAAAAGGAGGTTTGCATTCTGATATGGAAATGTTCAGAAGGTTTGCATTCTGATATGGAAATATTCAGAGGGTTTGTGACTGCACACAAAGAACACTTTGTACATAGATTCAGTTATATTCTTTATTGTTGAAACAGTTCTGGAATGTTTTGGTCTCCCTGAGCTGCCAAACGGATGAAAACATTGGTCCATCCTGTAATTTTTTTCTTTAAAATTTATATGAGAAAGATTAGCAAGCAGCAGAATGGACAAGAAGGTATTTCAAAACTGTGTTCCAAAGGAAAAGGAGACTAAGGACAGGGACATGAAATGTCAAGTATTGTAACTCAAATGGTACAGGAAAAACTTAAGGAAGATTGGAAAACAAGTTAAACCCCACTCCTGACTTCAGAATTCTTCAGGACATAGACACCTTCCTCTCTAATGACCCAGTCCTTGGATATGCCAGCCTGAGAGCCTGCTGAAAGGGAAGGTTTGTAATGAGACAGCAGAGCACAACGTGGCCTATTGTCAGCTTGGGGGCTAAGTACTGCCCACATATGTCATATGACCACAAAACCACCACTGGAAACACTGCAGTTTATAAAATCCTCAGTGCCATTCATTACACATAACTAACCAAAATAGCTCACCTATTAACCTGTCATCTGGGCAGCTCCTGGTCTGCAATTTACCTCTTCACCTTTCTCCTGCTCCCTAATACCACATGGAACCTCGTCAGGCTACAAGATGAGTGGTAATCATGGTGCTATTAATATGACAGTCAGCAGCCTCTTCCACTTCACACGGCCTCACATGAATTCCTTAACATTAGGCTTTAAGACTCAGATCAAATCATTGAGTTTATGAGACTTTCTCCAGTATATTTCCAACTGAAAAGCTGAAGAGGTTCTTAGGACACTTATTTAATTCTCCTTAGCTCTAGGACTTGTTAGTCATCTTCATCCTATACCATCCTACTTCTGAATAATAAAATACTATCATGAACTGGACAGACCTGGAAACAAAGAAAAAGTCTGGGACATTCTGTATGAAGAGCACTGCTGCTGTTAATACTGAAATATTACTAGATTAATTATATTTAATCAGTTAGCTCATTATCTGAAATGAAAAAGAAAAGTATTTTACGCACCAGAAAACTGTTGTAAAAATTACTATCAGTTAGAATGGGGAGGGGATATTTTGGAAGTAACTTGAAGCATAATACAGTGTTAACTAAGAAATAATCAGGGATGATCATACTGACTTGGGACATGTTGCAAGATAAATCCTTTATTTAGTTGGCTAATTTAATGGCATTTTAAAAAACACATTACTCAGTTAATGGTCTGAAGAAATACTTTGAAACCAATCATGAATAGATACAAAATGCTCAGAATTTTTCATATTTTCACCAGAAAAAAAACAAACGACCTATGGGTTCTTAATATATAATAATAACAACATGATACTGAGACAGAAACTGAAATAAAAGATGAAATTAAAAGCTGTCTGCCCCCCAGAGCCAGTGTGCACTTTATCCTAAGTCACTCGGCTGCCACATCAATGCAGCCAGTGACTATCTAGGGTGACACAAGGCAGCCATTCTAATGGGATAAAGAGGACTTTCATCTCTACATTGCTCCAGCTGGAATAATGCAATGGTGGCCTGTGACAAATGAGCAGATGATCCCAGCCCAGTTTTAGGATGCCCACCCCAAAATGCCCAACAACAGGCTCACAGCTCGCTGTACATGGGAGCCTTTGAGTTTGTGTAGTTTCTTCTAAGCCCCAGCTGAGAAACACCAGCAGTGCAGGACAGAAAGCTGTTTCCAGCTACCAGATCCTCCTACGTGTTGTGTGGATAGCTACAAGACTTTGACCTAAAGTCACCTTGTCCTAGTTTCCAATTCACTTTTATGCAGATGAGATGGCAGGATCAGGGCTGTGGTATCCACACTGGCTCATACTTTCAGAAATGAAAGCTGCGAGATTTATTCATCTGAGTGTCCACAATTAGGTTAGCTTGCAGGATCAGGCTTATTCTGCATGAAAAGGATGGTTCTCTCTAATTCACAAAAAGGAAATTGAGAAATATTGGTGGAAAAGGGAATGTGCTAACTCTTGTAAAACATTAGTGGAAACTGCATTGCCCAGACTGAAATGTCATTTAAAACCACGAGTGTCCCTTTAAGCAAAATATCAGCACAGGGAAGGAAGAACTAAAACCAGTAAAAAGCAGCTGATAAAACACTGCCATCACATTTTCAAAAATTCGACCCCAAAATGTTTCACAAAATTGAGTAACAGAGGAAAACAAAATATTTTTGTACCACTTTCCTTTGGAAATGCAGGATAAAGCCCATCATGTGAGCTGAACTGTAAATGAGGGCCTTATGCTTTATAAAAATTCTCCTATTGTCCCAGGAAGGATAAGGGTCAAACACAACAGTTTCAGCAACACTCTAAGTCCTGTAAATAAAGTTAGCTAGCAGACAGGAATTAGCAGACTGTTTGGGGAGGGGGGAAAAAAAAATACTCTTTTTGTAGGAAAAATTAAAAATTTAGGCACACTGCTGCTCCATTTCAGACTCGACTTCAGACCCGACTGTACCAGAGATTAATTGGACCCACGAAATCCAGCAAACAGCATATGACATCCATCTACCTTTGCTGCTTCAGCATCCTCCCAAAAATATATAATGCAGGATTTAAAATAGTACATTAGCCCAGTTTCCTTTCACAAAGTCTTACAGAGAAGTTTAGGAAAATTCCAAAAGTAGCATATTGATTGCCTCTGGGATTTTCCACTTAGCAATTTAATAGAAAATTACACCCCTACCCAATCTGTGAGGTTTCCATAACCTCCCTCGTGAATTTAATTTTCCAGCATATAATAAATTTTACCATTAGGCATATTTTCTGATATTGCTTCACCATAAAGGCTATTTCCCAATTCTGCTTTCAGAACCACGTGTACTCTCTGTGTGGTGTCTGGACAGCACCTTGCACGGAAGAATTCAGGTCTGACTGTGTCTATGCACACAGTTAGGATACAAATCACTACTGTTAGTATTCCATTTGCTTCCCTCCTGCTCATTTTATGTCATTATTCCGAGTGATAGGGTCGGTCAGTATTACTGGAGCTAACGGGATTCTCCTGGGTACTCTGAGGAGACCAAGGCAAGATCTGCATTTGCATCTGTTCAAGTAGGCGTATGCAAGTATCACATAGTCTTCTCCTTGTCACAACACAGTCTGACTACATGTAAAACACAAGATGATGATCGGAGCTGTGTTTGCAGTTATCAGTAGTCATAACTGTAAACGCCTGGGTCCTTTCTCTACAGGCAACAGGCAAAAAGCACTCTTGGCTGTAAAAAAAAACCACTCCACCCTCAGTGAATTTAGCACAGTGAGCTAACTGGAAGTGTGGCTGAAGGCGTCAAGTGGTGAATAAATCAAAGCACTAATTTCAGCTGTGCTTGGGCCAGCCGTATGGCTGCAGTGACCTCACGGTGACCGTCGGGAGGGCTGCCAGACGCCCTAAATCTCGCTCCTCCGGAGAGCCGAGACTCTCTTCCTCTTGCTAAGGAGATCCAGTTTTTGGCCGAGGGACTCTCTTCCCCTTGCTAAGGCGATCCAGGTTTAGCAAAGCTCAACATCCCTCAGCCCAGCTGGCGGCTCGGCGCTCTTCTCCAGGCCTCGGTCCATGACACCAGCGGACACATCGCTGCGAGAATCCCTGTAAAACACGGCAACAAACAGGTGTTGCCATCAGTTCCTGAGGTTTACCCGCTTCCGCACGCCAACTTCACCCCCCTCCCCGCCTGCCCTGGCCCGGTCCCGCTAAACCCGAGGAGTTCCCCCCGCTCAGCCCCCGGGGGAGCCGCGGGCGGCACGGCGGGGCTGAGCGGCAGCGCCGGTGCCCGTGTGCGAGGCGCGCGGCGGGAGGGGGACACAAAATGGCGCTGCCCCTCAGCCCCTCGCCCTCGGCCCGCGGTGGGGCCGAGTGGCGGCGGGCCGGCCCCGGGGTGGCGGCGGCTCCCGGCCGGCGGAACCGCCGCCTTCCTTCCCCCAGCAGGTGGCACCGGGGTCCCGGCGCCGGCGGCGAAGCCATTGCGGGCCGCCCTTTGCCGCCGGGCCGCGGCCGCGCAGCCGGCGGGGGGGAAGGCGGCGGCATCGCCCCCGCGGGGCTCCCCCCGCCGCACCCCGCTTTCCCTCAAAGTTCGGGGCGGGAGCGGGGGGGAGAGCGGAGCCAACTTGTCCCGGATCCCTTTATTCGCCGCCGGAGCCGCCGTCTCTCCCAACCCCCGCGTGTATTGCTGATCGGAGGGACGGAGCTCGGTCCTGTGTCCGCCCCGCTCCTTCCTGCCCGCACCATGGAGTTCGCCCAGAGGAAGAGGAGTAGGAAATCCCAAAGCTTTAAATTGGTCAACGAAGGTAAGGCGGGGGCGGCCGGGCTTTGTTCGCTGGCCGGGGGCAGCCCCGACTTTTGCCCCGGGGGGAGCGGGGCGTTATGAAACGCCGGCGCCCCCGGGCCGCCGCTCCCTCCCGGCTCTGTTATTGAACTCCGCAATCCTCTGCCTGAACTCCCCGCAACCATTGTGCGCCTTTCTTTCTTTTTTATTTAATTTTATTTCTTTCACCCCCTTCCCGTTTCCTCTTTTCTCAAAAATTATTTTTTGCGTGTGTGTTACGTGTTGTTGCAAAACCACCACCTCAAGCCTCCCCCCCCACACCTCAGGTGGACGTGTTATTTTTTTTCCAAGCAGACCCTGCACAAAATAAAGTTGGATCGTGTTTCGTGGTAAATCCTGCTTGGGCGGGGGGGAGGGAGAAAAGATAGAATCGGGAAGCGAGCAAAAAATAATGACACTTGAGCAGCGACAGAGCTCCTTAGTATTCAACTCTTGTGGATTTATTGTATTTGGGGTGGCTTTTTTCCTCTCCTCGGCTGTGTACATCCGTGTATTTCAAAGAAAAGCTGAATCGAGATTTCTTTATTAAAAATCCACGCAGGTAATTAATTGTACGTGGGTAGGGGAGAGCCGCTGGCGTGTAACTTGTTCACTCGGGGTGTGTTTGCTTTTGGAAAAGAGGATATTTTAAAAGGGATCGTGAGGGGAGAAATATTTGAATTCATGTCGGGCAAGAAGCACAGCTCTGTGTTTCAGTCTTGTTGTTGTTTTCTTTAATTAAAGGGGGGAAAAGATACAGCCGCTGGTAGGCATTTTAACAGGTGGACTTCCCACCCCTAGGGATTTATTCTGGTTGGGGATTTGTCCCTTCTCCGGCCGATGAGATGTTTTTGCTCTGATGGATTTGACTCGAGATCGTTTCTCCTTTTGTGTTCTCAAGTATTGGACGGGAATATCTCCATGAAATGCTGTGTGTGTCCTGCATGCCAAGTTCAAGGCAGGTGACTGCTTGGGTGTAATGTCACACTGGTGAAAAGGGGCACACACACACGAGTGTCAAGACTTGCTGTCTGGGGACTGCTCTGCAAAATTGCATTAGAAGCAAAGAAATTTAAAGATGGAAATAAACTCACTTAGTGGGAATAGTAAATAATGACTGCTGTATCGTGGTAGGGGGGTCTGGAGCATCACACATGGTCCCTGTTAAAGCCAGAGGGGCAGGAACATGCCAGATGTGTCTGAAATGCGTTGGAGGTCTGTATCCATTAGCAAACCTATCAAGGGTGTAATTTTTACAGAGAACAGGTTTGGTTTGTGGGGTTTTTGTACTGAACTTAGAGGCACTCCCAACTTGGAGGCCGAATTAGTGTAGACTGGGCTGGAGCATGGAGGTGGTGAAAGCAAAATGTGGAGAAACAAAACTGAAATTGTGCTTTGTTTCTTTCTGTCCTAATGGACCTGTAGAAAAAGTATGTGCCAGAAATAGGTGACTGTTTTTCCAGTCTCAGTTGCTGCTTCTTACAGGTTTAGCTATGCCTCAGTGTATGAGACAATCTATTTAACCTTATTTTAACAGGTAAATCCAGTTATGATGGTACATTATTAATAATATTTTATCTGAGGTCTCTTTTTGGATGTAGAAAGTCAAATAGAAAGCTACACTAAAAGCATATCCTAGAGGGAAAATTACGTCTTTGTACTTTGAGAATGGAGGAGATAAAAGTCACATTTTGTATGTGAGTCTGCACTCTCATACTCTTTTCTATCACAGTTGATTAGAAAGATAATTACATATAAATAGTTGTCTCTTGTAATTGGCCTTTGCCTCTTGCAGGAGTTATTCTGTAATGTCACAGTTTAGTGTTTACTGTTGTGAAATTGATATGGTTTTCCAGTGCCTGGACTCTGACATCCAAGGCAGAAGAAGGAAACCAAAGAGAAAAGGCTATGCTGTTGGTAACACGCCATCTTCTATTGATATGGACCCATACAATGCTTATTCTGTCCCAAAAATAACTTCAGAGCACCTTATCACAAGGATCAATAATGACCAAATCAAGAGAAAATCCATTCCTGTGCTAAAACGCAGCCACCTCTGGAGTGAAATGTGGTGACTTTAAGGCAGCAGCTGCAGACCAGAAGAATATTGTTACCAGCTGGATGTACAGGGGAGTGCTAGAGAAGAAACCATGCATAATCTGTGTATCTAAGGACCATCAGTCCCTAAGTCATTTAAGTCCCAGTTTCCACATACTTGCTCCTACAGATCTCAGAATATCCTTGAGAGGGTGAAGGTGCAGAGTGTGGCAGGTAGGCCCTGACTGGCCATCAGGTGCCCACCAAGCCACTTCACCACACCCTCTGCTCAACAGGACAGCTGTGATCATGGAAGGCAGCATAAATCCTGCCAGTTAAGTCATACAAAAGAAGCTTTTACTTCCTCGATGTCATATCTCAAACTTCACCTTTACCCATTTCATGGTAGGGTGTGCTCGGGAAGCAGAGGAACACTTCGTGTAGCACCTCATCACTGACCTCTCCAGTTCTGTTGTGTGGTTGTTTTCCCCTCATTTTCTTTCCAGGCCCTTCTCATTCTATTGCATTGCTGTGTTAGGCTCAATTTTTAGTTTACATACTGGGTTGTTCCCCTTCTTGTGCCTTCATGACAGTCATGCTGTACAAATAAACATCATGTAATAAAAAAGTGTCTTCCAGGAGACTTTTCCAATGCTGTGGCTGTTTGGTCAGAGGTGCAAGTGTGCTGCTTGTGGGAGAAGGAGCTGCTTATGCCACCCTCCGCTTATGTTACACCTTTAAAGTGAATCCCCCAAAGTCCCTTCCATGAGTTAATCTCTGCCTTGCTTTTTGTGAGGCAGGTAAACATAAAACCAGTTTACGGAGGGAGTAGCTGAGAGCATTGGGAACTGGGAGGGCATTGAAGGAGTGAGGTGGGGAGGTGGCTCTTTCAAGACACTGAATATATTGTTCAGTCTGAGCGATTTGCCGAAGGACAGAGTGTGTGCCAGTATCGGAGTCAGAAATAGCATCCAGGAGAGCTGCCTTTAGACACTTTTTCTTTCCTTGGACTTACTATTCCCTCTGTGCACACATGTAAACAAAGCTCTGGTTTTAGTGAACACCTGCCTGGGGTTACAACAGAGACCTTCACAGCAAAATATTCTTTTATTTAAAATAGAAACTCGGTGGTAATTTTTTTTTTAGTATCTTGTGACATCTCTGTATATGAGATGCCAATGCTAATTCTTCAGGTCAACACAGGCATTAATTTCTATAGGTGAATATCTGAAGGTGTCCGTGATCCTCCTTTCTTCACAATTGGGAGGTCAGTGACATCAGTATGAGTCAGGACAGCTGAGCAATACAGTCCTGATGTATATTGCTGATTCCTTACTGACGTGAAGTTTGAAAGTTTGCCTTGGTCTCTGGGAAGGTAAAGTTTTCATTATAAATCTGCTTTCCTTCTGTAAAGCAAGAAGCCAGATAATTGGCATCTGGTGGGATAATTTGCTGTGAAAATGAACACAGTAATTTAGGGCAGGCGTAGCTATTCCCTGAAATCTGTGAAATATTTGAACTGAGTCTCTCCAGTGTGAGCAAAGGTTTTTTAGGAGGTGCTGATACAGAGCACATTTTCTGTGGTTAATTTGATGTACATGAAATAAACTGCAGATATATTGATAAATTGTGTAGTAAAACTGTAGCAATGTGTTCAGTGTTCATTTTTTCCAGATCACTTGAATTCTAATTTTTTTTATCGTTTTTCATTCCAGATTACCATCATGAGATATATAAGATCTCTGACTACAACAATGATGTTAATGGGGAGACCAGAGAAACACAACCAGTTTTTTTAGGTATGTGCTTGTGTTGATTAATTTTCGAGCAACATTGCGTGGCCATTTGCAATTAGGGAGGAAAAAACCTCTGTGCAAGCACAGAAAGCGCCTGCCATTGTTTAATATGACGCTCTTTTCAAGACCCTTTTATTCTATGAATTGCCAATATATCCTTTATTAACACTGCTAAAAGTTGTAATTTCAGACATAAATGTTTATTAGTGTCTACACACAGTGCTAATTATCACTCACTCAGAGAGCCAGATGCTGACTCTGCAGTTTTGCAGCTCTGTGCTCACCCCATTTACATTGCATATTCCCTGGCATGCTTCACTGGCAATAGTTTGTGTAATTGGGGTATTACATCTTTGACATCTGGATAACAGAAATTCAATTTCCAGGAAGCTGCTATTTGTTTGGTTTTGCTTCTGCCTTGGGTGGGATAGAGGATTAATGTGCTGTCTTAATGTAATGTCCTTTCACCTCTGGAGCTTGCCTGCTAATCCTGCCATGGCAAAATTAAATTAAATCAACAGTTAAAAATGTGTAAAGAAAATACAGAAATAATATAGAGTTTGCAGGATGATATGTATTTCAGCATATCAGTGACTGGCTATCAGTGAACCTTTACCTTTCTTGTGTGCTTTTTATCCTGTGTAACATCTCAGCTGCAGAGTGCTTCTTCCTTTCCTGCTTCCATCCCCTTCCAGTTGCATCCAGGACCTCACCTGGATAAAGCCCCTCTTGGCAAAGATTTGGCAGGCTAAATTCAAAGAAGGAGGGGCCAGTTTTTTCAGCTGTATAAAGCATGCTTGTGAACACTTTGTTCGGGCTTTGGAGAAGATAAATGCCTGTGCAGAAATAAATTTGGGGATGTTTCCCTCTCCTTTTCAGCACCAGGAGCCTTAACATTTTTGTGGGGTGATTTAAGGTTTCTGTAGTCTGTGTGTGTTGCCCCCTGGAGCCGGCAAGAAGCATTGAAATGTGGGAATCGGCACCTGAAGTTAATCTGCATGCAAAATGCCTTTGTCTCCTAAATTCATAGTGTCGCATCCTCTTCTAGAGGTCAGCAGCAAATGGGAGACATTAGGAGGATGTGTTAAAACGGGGGGTGGGAACTGCCTTAAATTTCTTTCTTAGCTTCTTACTACTAAGAT